AGGATCACAGTGCTTTTAAGCGTCTGAAGCCAGATTTGAACTCAGGTTGATGAGTCTTCTGGACTCCAGGCCTGCTGCTCTGTGCCCACCGAGCTGCTTGTTTAATACATGTTTGTTAATTCATTGATCAAAATCATCTTTGGCCTCTGCTTGAAGACTCACCTTGCAAGACACTTCATCAGCTGGCTCAGGGAATTTTCTGACTATGTCCCTTGCCTGGAATCCTCTCCCTCCCCCCCCTCAGAGTACTGCCCTCCCTTAGAGACCCAACTAAAATTCTATCTTCCTGTGGAAAGATTTCCCCAACCCCTCTTAATTCCAGTGCCTTCCCTTGGTTAATTATCTCCTATTTATCCTGTATTTAGTTTGCTTCTTATATATTGGTTTGTATGTAGTCTCCTCCATTAGATTGTAAACTCCTTGGGGGCAAAGACTGTCTATGGCCCTTTTGTATCCCCTGAGCTTAGCTCAATACCTGGCATAAAAGTGTTTACTAAATGTTGATTAATGCTCACCCATAGCTCCTAGTTCTGCCCTCTGGGCCTAAGAAGGCCTCTTCCACCCAAAAGCCCTTCAAATGCTTGAAGATGGCTGGTTGGCTCCTCTTAAGACTTCCCTTTTTTGGGTTAACTATCTCCTCTTATTTCTCCACCTCATTTTGCACATATGGAAACTAAGGCCCAGAGAGGTTAAGTTACTCACTCAAAGTCACCCAGCTAGAAAGTAGCAGAGCCAGTATTGGAACGTAGGCCCTCTGACTCCAAATGCTACATACCACTATCCCACTATGTTTTATCTACATTTATCTAAATATATCACTATATTTTAAACTATTACTTCAACATATTTAATACTTATTTTCATAATGATATAATGTGGCTCCTTTAGATACAATCCAAAAACAATTACTGGGATTATCCCCTTTCCATCTACTTCAAAGTCACTCCATTCTGGAGCTCCTTGACAGGCTCATAGATCACGGATTCCTGTTTCATCTCTTAAAAGCACCATACAACATATAACATCTTGCCCTCTTTTTATACAGTATTTGCTACATGCAGATATACAGAAAGATAGACTATTCAAACTAATTAAATTCAAAAAATATTTATTAAATAACTACTACATACAAGGCTTTAGTCAGTCCATAAGCATTCATTAAGCCAGGCACTGGGGTTACAAAGACAGGTAAAACAGGAAGTGCCCTCAAGCATCTCACATCATAATGGAAGAGAAAACAAGCCAACAATGGTGTGTAAATGAAATATATACAGGATAAATTGGAAGTAATCTCAGAGGAAAGTAATAGAGGGGAATTGGAAAAGGCCTTTTTCAGAAGATGGGGTTTAAGTTGAGTTTTGAAGAATGCCACAGAAGCCAGGAGACTGCAGGAATGAGGGAGAGCCAATGGAAAGGTAATAGTCAGGAGATGGAGATGACTGTGGCCAAAATCAAAAGACAAGCAGTGAAGGGGGAATTGTCAGGAGACTGCTGTGAATGAAGAACAAGCAAGGAGGCCAGTGTCCCTGGATGGCTGAGAGCATGAAGGGGAATCAAATAGAAAGGCAGGAAGAGGCCAGGTCGTGAAAGGGCTTTAAAAGCCAAGAAGATGATTTGCTATTTGCTCCAGGAGGTAATAGGAAATCACTGATGTTTACTGAGTCAGGGAGCGACACAGTCAGATGCTTGTGCTTCAAGATCACTTTGGCTGAGGAGATGGATTGGAGTGGGGAGAGTCTTGAGGCAGAGAGACCAACCATTGTCTATAAAATTAATAAGCTATTAGTATAATAAGAGGTGATTAGGAGAGCACTCCTGACCCCCCATGAAACCGGGCATGTAAGTTCTAGCTCCATGGACAGAAACATGGTGCTCTGGCTCAACACCTAAGGACTTGTGCTTGAAATGATACAGCCATGCCTCATCAGTCCTCACGTCTTCCTTCTGTAAAGATGAGATAGAGAACACCAGAAAAAAAGACTGCTCTCCTCCTTTGGGGTCAGGATCCCCCTGGACTGAATCTAACTTGTGTGAGTCCATGGCAGTAGCCTCTGAGTAAAGTGGTATCTTGGGAAAATCTGTTAAGAGTGCCAAACCACACACTCAAAAAAGGGGAAGAGAGAAAGAGGTAAAGACACTGGCATTTCTTTTTAAGATTTCTGAGTGGGTGGCTCTTCCTGTTTCAGTCACCAATCTTCTTTGGCACAACCCCAATAATGGGAACTATGGGGACCAATAAAGGATTTCAGCATCATCCCAAAGCACAAATCCTTCAGCACATGTCTCTCTCCACAGAGCCAGGGCATGCATATGTAGCTCCACGGAGTCCAGTTCAAGAGATCTGGCTCCCCAGATTAACCCCTTATTAGCTAGTCAGCCAGCTAAATAAAAATAAATAGCTAACATTTATATAGCATTTGCTAATGTTCCAGGCACTGTGCTAAGAGCCCTACAATTGTTATCTCATTTGATCCATAAAACAATCCAGGAGGTAGGTGCTATTATTATCCCCATTTTACAAATGAGGAAACTGAGACAAGCAGAGATTAAGTGACTTTCCTAGGGTCACACAGCTAGTAAGTGGCTAAAACAGGAATTGAACTCATGTCTTCCTGATCCTGGGACTCTATCCACTCACTGTACCACCTAACTGCCTCTGCCTGGTTAGCCTTTATTAGGTGCCTACTATATGCTAAGCATTACTAAACACTGGGGATAGAAAGAAAGGCAAAAAACAGCCTCTGCTCTCAAGATGCTCACAGTCTAACAGGTAAGACAACATGCAAACAACTAGGTACAAACATATATGTAGGATAAATTGGAAGTAATCTCAGAAGAAAGACACTAAGATTAAGGAGGACCATAAAAGACTTCTTGCAGAAGGTGGGACTTTAGCTGAGACAAGAAGGAAGCCAGGAGGTAGAGATGAGGAGAGCATCTTAGGCATGGGAGATAGCCAGTAAAAATGCTCTCTGAGTCAGGAGATGGAAGTGTGAATTAATATTAAAAGCAACACCTGTTTGGGGAGGTGCAGTGCCCTAAGCCAGGAGCTTTAACAGGAGGCATAAATCTGGTTTGGATGCATCAAAACAACTTATTGAAAGACAGCTTATGTTCTCACATAAATTGGAAGAAGTCCAACATGACTGATTGTTTTGTGCATTCTGGGGATGAGGAATGTAGGGTTACATTTTACATGGTACAAAAATGTCAGTCATGGTTTCAATGCACGTGTGACCTTCCAGAAGAATTCTCCATCACTTCATTTTCTCTAAAAGAAGAAAGAATGACACTGGAAATGCAATGGGGAAGTTCAATTTTTAATTTCAGGACCATCTATTACTTCCATTTCTTGTATCAAAATGCAAACGCAAACTAAACTGTCTCGTATTTCAGAGGCATCCACTTCTGCTGCCTCAAAATGAAACTATTCTGATCCTTCTAGAAGGGTATATCTTTTAACATAACCTTGATCTTAATCATCTTGGACAGCTAAATTGCTCTAGGTGGTAGAAATACAACAGACAATTGAATTCAATTCTTCTACAGGCCAACCAACTAAATAAAATCCCATACTTTCTTATTCTGAAGTCAGTCACTCAACCAGAAAGATGAAGGATTCTTTTAATACAGTTCATAAGCATTCTCTGCCTCAGTTCTTATTAACCAGAGATTACATGGCACAAAATCTAGATTGCTTTCTTTCCCCATCTACTGGTTCTCTTTGATACAGGAGATACTCATGCCCAAATCTCAGAACCAGCTTTACTCACAAAGAAACCAGTAACAATTTTCTACTAGCTAGCAAGGGGTCATGGTGCTATGCTCTGAGGAGCAATGCCCAATGCAAAAAGAAATCACTCTTGATCGTCATTCCATACGTTTTCATTTTATTTTATTGCTTTAAAGAAAAACCTCAAAATGCTGGCTGCTGATGACTGATTCAGTCTCTGGGTTGAAACATCTGACAGACTGCAAATCACAGCTTCTTGGATAATGAGGAGAGTCCACAAAAACAAATCTTTTCTATTTCTCTGCTTCCAAAAAGATATTTTCCCCCTCTACATTTGATTGGTTTCCTACTAAGCTAACATTGATCTAGATATAGTGCTATTCAAACGAGACATTTGTTCTGGTCCTACATTTTTGAAAATCTTGTTCCCAATAATCACATAGTTTGAGCGTACCCTTCCAATTAGCTCTTCATTAGGGAGGTACTATACTACAGAAATAAGCCCAAAAGTCAATAGTTTCTTAAGGGATAGCAAACAAACACTGATTCTGCAAAACCCTCCTAATTTAACTTGGCAACAGAAAGTTACCCTGCTTTTAAAAATAAGAAGGATGAAGTAAAGATAGAATTGCTCACCAGGTTTTAGAAAGGTGCCTTCCAATAAAGTATTTAAGCACAGTATGTACTAGCTGATGATGTCCCCAAGAGGGATATGATTCAACCGCCTAAACCGAATTTCTCATATCCTGCCTGGTATTATACGCTATGCATCGTGGAAATAGCGAAAAGGGGGAAAAAATAAAACAACAAAGAAACTTCTTGCTTGAAAAGTCTAATTTCTAAATGACTGAGAAAAGACTTAGAGGCACCTCTTTCTTTCGCTCTCAATAAAATTATTTTCCTCCCCTTCCTAACATGTTCCCAGAATGGGGTGTGGATGATCTGTGGGTGGGAGGGCTGGGAGCTAGGAAGATGAGGGGCGAAGAGGGAGAGGACAGAAAGGGCAGACCTTGCATTTTCAAACCTTCAGGAATTTTCCACGTAGAAAACCAAAGCGAAGGCCAGTGGTTAAACTACACCCTTCTCACGCGCTCCCCCACTCCCCAAAGTGAATGTTCCTGTTGAAAAACAGGGAGGGAATTGGAGAAGGAAACCAAGCCCTGCAAGAGGAGGAGCGGCAGCTGCAGAGACCAGCAGCTGAACACACGTTATACACACACCATGCTACTTCCCTCCCTGCTCCCGAAGTGCCACAAAACAAGTTTACCTGGGTGTAAAATCACCAGCACCGCTGCAGAAGTTCCAGTTCACTTCCCCTGGGGGTTCATAAGCTCAGCACTCTGGTCCTCTCCAGGTTTGCAAAACATTAATCCTTTTGCTTCTCCTTCCAGGGCTTTCCCACCCGCTCTCCCTCTCGCACCATGTCAGGAATCCGGGAAGGCAGTGAGCTGGGAGCTGACATCACTCCCTGTTCCAGGTACCTCCCTCCTCCCACTGCCTCCTTCTCTCCTCCCCGCCTGTGGGGACTAGCCAAAGAGAGGCAGGGAGTGGGGTGGAGCTGGCCGTTCCTAAACCCCAGCTGATTGGGCCCGTGAAAAGTCACTCAGAGAGTCAACTCATTTTGTACATTCCAAGCTGAAGGAGAGTTCTGCTGGAAGTTGTGGGTGTTGATAGAAAAAAAAAAGTTGGTTTTCCTGCCATCTATAAGGGAGGGAAAGACCCCTGTCTGAAAGTTTTGAACTTCATTTGGTGGTGTTTCCTAGCGCCCAGAACTGAAATAAAATTAAACCACCCAAGTCCCACTTTCAAGCAACAATTGCTTCTGTGCAATGGGAAAGTGTCCTGATCTTTAGGGATGTAGAAAAGGGTTAGCTTTAACTGCCATGCAAACTAAGACAATTGCAGATCACTTCTCCACCTAATACCCTCAGACATTTGGATTTTCCCCAGAGAAGTAGAAACAAAACACAACAGAAAAAAACACCTCATCACAATCTTGAGTGGGTTCCTTGGAACAAACAATCAGCGACATGCTCTAGTCTAGTGATGTCTGACTGAACAAGCATGTGGCTGCCTTTGCCTTTTAGCAGTAAAAACAAAAACAAACACAAAAAAATCACAACTCCCAGGCATGGAGAATAATGGCAGTGTTTTACCTCTTTAAGGACTATTTTTAAGATTGTCATTTTAATGCACTACTGAGGGAGTATCTATCAACTCCAATGAACAACTCATATGAAGGTAATTGAATTTCTGGAGAATCAATTGAGGTGCTTGACTATGGCTTATGGAGAAACCAATTTGTGCTTGACAATTCTCCTACTGTATAATAATTCCCCTGGTGAGCAGAGGTGAGCAGAATAGGGTTAATCCCAGGAGGAATGTCTTTCAATTTATCCAGAGTCTGGTTAGCTGGCTTTTAAATACACAATCACCACTTATAGATAAAGGAGAAGAAATTCTCACCTAAAGAAAAAAAAAGTTTTTATTGTATAACTAATTTTGTTTACTATAATGCAGCGGGAATTGGACTAGAGAACTTTCCATTGAGCTGGCCCTTTCCAGTGGAACAAGTGAGAGTGGGGTCAAAAGTATTTGAAGAGGGATGGAGCCAAGATGGCTGAGAGAAGCCAGGAAGTTGCCTGAGCTCTCCCCAGTTTCCCTCGGAAACAATGTTAAATCAAGTCTCTAAAAGAATTCTGGAGCAACAGAATCCACAAAAAGATGGAGTGAAACAGTTTTCCAGTCCAAGAGAATTTAGAAGAACATCAGGAAAGATGTCTCCCTTGGGTAAATAAGGGGGTGCTGCCCAGCACAGGTGGTGTCCAGCTGGAGCCTCTTACCCACAGCACAGATCAGCAACCAAGTCCCTGTGGCTCTGGCTAAGCAGACCAGTAACACGACCCGCCAGCTATGAGGTCTCCAGGCCCAACAGAGAAGACAAAGTGCTAACCCTGAAACCTAGGGCACATTAGGTATGACTACACCAGCCTACCCTAGTGCAGTGGGCAAGCCAGAAGCCCCAAAAGGGGCCCTGAAGCAAATACTGACCAGGCCTCTGGCCCCCAATGCAAGAAGCTTGTGACAACGTCCCCTATAGCCCAGGAGCAGAGCTCAACTTTTTTTAAGATGAGCAAAAAACCCAAAAGAGCCCTGACAATAGAAACCTACTATGGCGACAGGGAAGATCAAAACACAAACTCAGAAGAGGGCAATGATGTCAAAATGCCTACATGCAAAGGGGAATATGAATTGGTCTCAAGTCCAAAAAGTCCTCTTCGAAGAGCTCAAAAAGGATTTTTCAAATTAAGTAAAATAGATAGAAGAAAAATTGGGAAAAGAAATGAGTTATGCAAGAAAATTATGCAAAAAGAGTCAACAGCTTGAAAAAGGGAGCACAAAAATTGACTGAAGAAAACAACTCCTTTAAAAGTAAAATTGGCTAAATGGAAAAGGGGGTACAAAAGCTAACTGAAGAAAATAATTCCTTAAAAATTAGAATTGAGCAAGTGGAAGCTAATGATTCAAGAATCTGTCAAACATAATCAAAAGAATGAAAAACTAGAAAAAAATGTAAAATACCTCATTGGAAAAACAACTGACCTGGAAAAAAAGATCCCAGAGGGGTAATTTAAGAATTATTGGGCTATCTGAAAGCCATGATCAAAAAACAGCCTGGACAACATCTTTCAAGAAATTATCAAGGAAAACTACCTGAGATCCTAGAACTAGAGGGTAAAAATAATCAACAAAAGAATACACCAATCACCTCCTGAAAGAGATTCTAAAATGAAAACTCCAAGGAATATTGCAGCCAAATTACAGAATTATCATGTCAAGGAGAAAATACTACAAACAGCCAGAAAGAAACAATTCAAATATTAAGGAGTCACCGTTCAGAATTACACAGAACTTAGCAGCTTCTACATTAAAGGACTGGAGGGTTTAGAATATGATATTCCAGAAGGTGAAAGAGCTTGGATTACAACCAAGAATCAACTACCCAACAAAACTGAGCATAAGCTTTAAAGGGAAAAGATGGATATTCAATGAAATAGGGGGCTTTCAAACTTTCCTAATAAAAACACTAGAGCTGAACAGAAAATTTTATCTTCAAACACAAGACTCAAGAGAAGCATAAAAAGCTAAACAGGAAGAAAAAAACAAACAAACATGGTATTCAGTAAGGTTAAACTACTTCCAACCCTACATAGGAAGACGATACTTGAAATTCTTAAGAACTGTCTCTTTACTAGGGCAGTCAGAAGGAGTATACTTAAACAGAAGGTATGGGTATAAGTTGACTTTGATGTGATGATTAAAAAAATAGTTAAGGGGTGAAAAAAAGGATTGTACTGGGAGAAGAGGAAAGAAGGAGGCAGAATGGGGTAAATTATGTCACATGAAGAGGCATGAAAAACCTATTACATTAGAGAGGAAGAAGGGAAGGGGTGAGCATTGTTTGAACCTTACTCTCATCAGAATTGTCTCAAAGAAGGAATAAGATACACACTCAGTTGGGTATAGAAATTTATCTTACCCTATAGGGAAGTAGGAGGAGAAAGGGGAAAGAAAAGGGAGGGGTGGCTGATAGAAGGGAGGACAGAAGGAGGAGGGGAAAGAGGAAAGAAAAGGGAAGGGGCCTGTAGAAGTGGGGCATATTCGGGGAGGCAGTGATCAGAAGCAAAACACTGGTGAGGAGGGACAGAGTGAAAGAAGAAAGAAAAGCATAAAAAGGGGATAAATACGATGAAGGGAAATACACAGTTAGTAATCATAACTGTGAATACGAATGGGATGAACTCTCCCATAAAATAGAAGTGGACAGTAGAGTGGGTTAAAAACCATAATCCTACAATATGTTGTTTACAAGAAACACATCTGAAGCAGAGAGACACCCACAGAGTAAAGGTAAAAATCTGGAGCAGAATATATTATGCTGAAAGAAAAAAAAAAGCAGGGGTAGCAATCTTGATGTCAGACAAAACAAAAGCAAAAATAAGTCTAATTAAAGGAGACAAGGAAGGAAACTACATCTTGCTAAAAGGTACCATAGATGTTGAAGTAATATAAATGCTAAACATATATGCACCAAGTAGTATAGCATCCCAATTCTTAGAAGAGAAGTTAAATGAGCTACAGGAAGAAATAGGTAGCAAAACTATACTAGTGGGGAACCTCAACTTTCCCATGTCAAAATCTGATCACAAAGTAAACAAGAAAGAAGTTAAGGAGGTGAATAGAAATTTACAAAAGTTAGATATGATAACCCAGCAATAGCACTTCTAGGTCTGTATCCCAAAGAGATCATAAAAATGGGAAAAAGACCCACATGTGCAAAAATATTTATAGCAGCTCTTTTTGTGGTGACAAAGAACTGGAAATTGAGGGGATGTCCGTCAATTGGGGAACAAGTTGTGGTATGTGAATGTAATGGAATACTATTGTGCTGTAAGAAATGATGAGCAGATGGACTTCAGAAAAAACCTGGAGAGACTTGTATGGACTGATGCTGAGTTAAGTGAGTAGAACCAAGAAAACACTGTAACAGCCATGTTGTGCGATGACTAACTTTGATAGACTTAGCCCTTCTCAGCATTGCGAAGATCTAAGATATCTCCAAACATCGGATGGATATTCTGAAAATCAAAGGAAAGATTAATAAAACTGAAAGTAATAAAGCTATTAGACAAATAAAACTAAGAGCTCTGAAAAAACTAACAAAATAGATAAACCTTTGGTTAATTTGACTAAAAAAAGAAGAAAACAAAAGTACCAGTATCAAAAAAGAAAAGGGTGAATTCACCACCAATGAAGAGGAAATTATTTTGCCCAATTGTATACCAATAATCTGACAATATAAGTGAAATGGATGAATATTTACAAAACTACAAATTGCACAGATTAAGAGAAAAGGAAATAAAATATTTAAATAACTCCATTTAAAAAAATAAATGTTGAAAAGTATCTTTACATGTAATTAGAAAAAGTAAAATACCACTTACCAAAAAAATAATAATAATAAAAATAAAGTGTTTGAAGACTGAGTCAAGAAGAGTTACTCCCTCAGTGGGCCTTAAGGGGTATATAAAGGTTTCACACACAGACACCCCTCATTTTAGGGTATAATTTGGGACTCTATCAACTCTCCCTTGGATTTGAGAGAGGATAGTGGCATGGATTTCTCTCTCCTTTCCTACTCCCACAAACAATTTAGCCTAGGTGAGTCTGAGCCAGGACCTTAAGTCCCTGTCCCCCTTTTCTCTGTTTTTCTTTACCTGAGCACAGATCAATCAGCATTCCTGAAAGATTCCAGCCTTGGGAGCTACCTCATAGGTTTGAGAATTTTGGGGTCCTACGTCCGTATAAGCTGACCAACAAGAGATGCTTCCATTTTCAGAGGAGACGATGACCACTAATAGAATGTCCTGAACCTGAAGGGTCTAAAGTACCATCCTGTGTGGCCAGCAGATCTGGACCTTGT